TTGCCTAAATGTAGAACCTTACTTTTTTCGCCACTGAATTTCATTTTGTTAGATAGAACCCAATGTTCAGATCTGTCAAGATCTTTCTGTATCTTAAATCTACCCTTCTGAAGTGTTGGCTATTCCTGCCAACTTGGTATTGTCTACAAATTTGATGAGTTCCCAATCTATTCCCTTATCTAAATCATTGATGAAGATATTGTACTGGGCCTAAGACAGAGTCTTGTGGTATCCCACTACATATTTCCTTCCATGTAGATGCAGCTCCATTAAGGACTACATGTTGAGTATGGTTGGTCAGCCAGTTACGAATCCATCTGGTGATGCTGTGTAACCCACATTTTTCTAGCTTATCAAGTAGTAGCTTGTGGTCTACTTTATCAAATGCCTTATTGAAGTCCAAGTAAATTATATCCACAGCATTTCTCTGGTCCACTAATTTTGCCACTTTGTCAAAGAATGTAATAAGATTTGTTTGGCATGATGTTTTTGACAAACTCATATTGGCTTTTGGTTATGACTTTGTTTGCCTCTAGGGGTGTTCACAGATTCATTGGTTGATTATCTTTTCCAGAATCTTTCCAGGTATTGATGTCAGGCTGATGGGTCTGTAGTTTCCTGGATCCATTTTTTTTCTTGTTTTGAAGATGGGGACTACATCAGCCTTTTTCCAATCCTCTGGTAGTTCCCCGGTTCTCAGGATCTTTGAAAGATATGGTTCAGTGGTTCTGAGATCATGTCTGACAGTTCCTTCTGAACCTTGGGGTGTAATCCATCCGGTCCAGGTGATTTGAACTCGTCTAGGATGGACAGGTGCGCTCTTATCATTTTCTTGTCTATTTTAATTTGTATTCCTAATCTGTTTTTTACGGTACTGGTTTTGATAGGTCCAGCTTGCAACCCACCAAAACACCTAGATTCTTTTAATATGTATTGCTGCCCAGTATGGTACACAGCAATTCGTGTCTCTTTTTTGGGGGGGAGGTTATATAAACTAGAAATTTGCATTTCTCTCTCTTGAAATTCATAATATGGTTTCTGTTATTTTCCAAACTGTTAAGAATCTTCAGAAACTGTATTGTCCTATATTTGTTATCCTTCCCATTTTTGTATTATCTGCAAATCTGATAACTTTTTAAAAACCTTATTCCAGTTATTTTTAAAATATATTGAACAGTATAGAACTTAGAAGGGAGCCAATATCTCCTTCTAGCACTGTTATGTTTTTGTGTCATTCTACCTGATTTGATCTTGAAAAGCTAAGCAAGGTCAGATCTAGTTAATATTTGGTTGGGAGACCACTAGGAAATCTCAGAACTGTAGGCAAGACTAAAAAGTTAAAAAGCATCCCTGAAAAAGACCATGGAAACTATTTCCATAAGATTGCTAGGCAAGATACATGACTATGTCTGAGATCATCAGAATTTAAACTCGGTTCAAGGAAGATTTAAGTCAATAAAATCTCACCCTTTCCCTAAGAAATTGAGGATCTTATAAGAAGAATTTTGCTTTTTTCTAAAATTAATTATTTACTTTTTAACTTTACCACTGCTACCAGTTTTAATAACATGACTGCAAAGAAGGGATCACCAACCTAGCACTTCCATGATGATATCTAAAGATAAAGGTTTCCCCTGTCCAGTCATCTCCGACTCTAGAGGGCGGTGCTCATCTCTGCTTCTTAGCCAAGGGAGCCAGCATTGTCTGAAAACATTTCTATGGTCATGTGGCCAGTATGACTATATGCACAAGGCACACAGAACACTATATTTTCCCACAGAAGTAGTACCTATTTATCTACTCGCATTTGCATGCTTTCAAACTGCTAGATGGGCAGGAGCTGGTGCAAGCAACAGGAGCTCACTCCTTCATTCAGCAGTCAGGTCTGCAGACCCACAAATTATACTTTTTTAAAAAATGTTAACAGTCAAAATGATAGAAATTCAACATTCTAACATGGAACTAGGTGACAACTCAGGAGTGAGATTGCTGAAACATCACAAGAATTAAAACCAAACTAGCTAAACTAAAACTAACAATTTCAGCTATTTTAAAACTATTTCAGCTATTTCATACTTGCCTCACTGCATATGGTTACGCTTTCTATCTGAGAATACCGTGACCTAAGCCCTACTTTTAACGTGCAAAAATGTCAGAAAAATTAGATCCAGTAAAGTGATGCCTCAACTTACCACTGCATTGAATTAAGATCATAATTCCAGGTTCAATTATAATCAAGGACTACCTGTACTTCCTGCATGTGATTTGCAAGGCTTCCCCAGTGATTGAATTAGGTATCAAAAAAGTTATTAGTTCAGTTACTGGAAATGAAGAAACGTAATAACTAAAAAAAAAAGCAAACCTATCATTTGACTCAGTGTGAGGGCAACTTCATATACACGGCCCATATATTTCCAATTTCAGAAGTAAAATGTAAGCAATGCTTAATCCTGACAAGTTCAGAAATAAAAAAAGGGTGGGAGAAGAAAAGCATTCTTGTTAGTCTATAATTAAGCTCTTCTCTTTTTTGTGACTACATGTTCAGTGATGTTGTTTATCCTTAAGCAAACAGCTGAGACAGTAGTTTTGGCAGGCAAGCAAACACAGAGGCAGCCAACTCATTTGTCAGCTACCTGTATCCAAGACTTGCCAAGACTTGCTCCTGACAAGCTGAGCTTCTAGGAATGTTGTCTCTGAACACATCCAGGAAAACCAGTAGCAACCTTGCACCTTGTTTTGCTGGAACAAGAGTTGAAGATAAGAATGTACAACTCAGGGACACATGAGCTTCCATGATATGCCTCAAAAGGATAAAAGCATGTGAATATCCAAATAAGTGAAATCTCTGCAAAACTTTCCTTTCTAATACTTGCAAATAATCAGGGGCACTTGCTAAGGACTTGCTTTTCTGTTCTAAAGAGGAGTTGAACTATTATCCCATAATCTCCAGAAGTAAATCAAAACAATCAATGCCACATTTCTAAAGAGCAAAGCTCTCCAGAAGTTTTTGGCTGTATAATAATAATAATAATAAAAAAAAAAGGTTAAGGCAGCTGAATACACATTCAGGCCAAGCTAAGTCTTACAATCAAGACTGTGCTCATATTGCATCTTGAATATTCATGATTTCCTCCGTGTGAAAATCTACACAAGTCAGTAGAGCAGTTTTTCCAGGTAGATGGCATCTTGAACTACTTGGGAATGGAAGTGTTAACATAAGCTTTGTATGGTTAACAAAAGCTTTAAAACAGCAACTCAGTTGATTGGCCATTTGTTCTTTCCAAATTGGGGCAGTGGCGGGGGAAGCAATCTTTCTTCCTCCAACTCCTTGGAAGATCCATTAAATCAGGTTTGGCTACATGACATTATTGAAATTAAACAAAGCTCACTGAGAATGGAAATAATGCATCTGGTATGTGTCACATGGGAGTCACAAGGGACAATGGAGTTGCTGATCATGAAGTCATTCCTTACTTTGGATAGCAATAGCACTTAAGACTTATACTGCTTAGTATTCTTGTCTTTTTTCATCAGAAGAATATGAAATGCAGCCTAATTTCAGGAACAACAACTAAAGAACACTGGCTATAGTACACACATTTTAATTATTTAATAAGCAAAAATAACACTAGTGTCAGAGTTGCCCAGCACCAAAATTGAATGCACTTTAATTGACTGTCAGCTTGCTACTTAGTTCATAGAAAATGCACCTTTTTGGAGAAAGTTGATTATTCTGAAAGATACATTTAGTATGACAGATTAAACAAAGCTACCTATGTGACAGTTGGAGAGGCAACACACATTTTCTTCATTTTCCTCAAATTAGCTGCAATTAAGCAGGGAAGAAGGCCCATAGCTCAAGAGCAAAGCTTTTCTTCCTATAAACTATATTACATAAAGTACTTTGTATTTTTAGGAAAAAATAAAACATCCATTACTAATTTCCCTCCCTCAATTTGCCACTCTCCAAAATCTGGGATATTTTGAGCGTTTTATTAATTCATTTCAAATATTTTAGTCTGCATTTCAATTTATAAAGACCTGAAATCATCTATATGCTATTTAGGAATAAAGAGGATTATAGCAGACAATATTTCATGCGAAAAATCAATTCTGACTTGGAATAAAGTTTGTAAAGTTGACATAAAAATATAGAGATATGCACTACAGTAATAATAAAGTGCATATCTGAGCTCAATTTATCTAGTAGTTATTACATTTTACATCCTTAAAAGTAAAGTGTTTTACTAGTAAAATGTAAGAAGATGGGGTAACAGGTTAAGTTGATAACTGCCAAACATCAATATTTACCATCTTTCCTCACCATTTTATTTTTTGTTTCCCCCTCTGGAATAACAACAACAAAACTTAACTTTTGTTTTACTAGGCCACTGTTTAAAATAATATTTGCAAAATAAATCCAGCTATCACAATCCTGAGCTCTCAGAAAGGGTGGAGATTACAGTACAGACCTTTGATGATAACAGAGGAAACCACTTGAGAGCAGTTTGCATTTCTCTGTAGGAAGCAGAATCAATAAACACTGTAGTGGAACTACATAATTAAACTATCTATTTAATGTCATGTGATGGCATAGAATCATTAGAATCAGAAAAGCATTCAAGCCATGCCACTGACTAACTCTGCTTTTTAGATGCGAGACACACAAAACAATGTAAGTAAAACGAAAGAATGTGGAATTCTAAGGAATTATACTTTTAGTAGATATTTTCCACATATGAGAGAGGCCACTGTCATTGTCTGCTTTAAACAACACATGGCTCTTTCTGTATAATCATGATGAGACTGATTATATAAGGATGTACTTTTATTTTAGCCAATTCACTAAATCAGAAATGATAGCTTCAACAATTAATTGGAAGAATTTTGTATTAGGATCTAATATGCAGCTTTTAGCATAAACATGATTGGGGGGGGGGGAGCCTTAAATGTTATAACATTTAAAAGTAAACATTTTAAGTAATGTGTAAATTTCTTACCGAGACAGTTATGACCATCATGTGCAAGATGAAAGCCGTCATAGCAGGTACATCGATAATTTCCTGGGATATTGACACATTCATGAACACAGCCAGCATTGTCATCGCGCTCACATTCATCAACATCTGAACAAAGAAAAGAAAATATACGTGATGTGGAAGAACTTCAGAACCAAAAATCTACAAAGCTCTTATCAAGTATTTATAAAATGACTAAACTGAGAACAGGGGTGCGCCCTTTTACCTCATACTGATGGAGAAAACCTGTAATGAAAGGATAACAGACTTCAGCCAAACATAATGTCAACCTTCCACACAATTGTGAAGCCTGTGAAATCTTAAATTCCTAGTCTCATACAGAATTATAGCTGCCCTTGCTTCAACATGGGAATATGGTGGAAGCCACAGCAAGTGTTCCCATCACCCATAATAATGATAATGATAATGATAATGATAATAATAATAATAATAATAATAATAATAATAATAATAATAATAATAATAATAATAATAATAATAATAATAATAATAATAATAATAAAGTTGGAAGGGACCTTGGAGGTCATTAAGTCCAACCCCCTGCTCAGGCAGGTAACCCTATACCATTTCGGACAAATGGCTGTCCAGTTTCTTCTTAAAAACGTCCAGTGTTGGAGCATTCACCGCTTCTGGAGGCAGGTTGTTCCACTGGTTAATTGTTCTAACTGTCAGGAAGTTTCTCCTTAGTTCTAGGTTGCTTCTCCTCTCCTTGATTAGTTTCCATCCATTGCTTCTTGTCCTGCCTTGGAGAATAGCTTGACTCCCTCTTCTTTGTGGCAACAACTGAGATATTGGAACATGGCTATCCTGTCTCTCCTCATCCTTCTCTTCATTAAACTAGACATACCCAATTCCAGCAGCCGTTCCTTATATGTTTTAGCCTCCAGTCCCCTAATCATCTTTGTTGCTTTTCTCTGTACTCTTTCTAGAGTCCAACATCTTTTTTACATCGTGGTGATCAAAACTGGATGCAGTATTCCAAGTGTGGCCTTACCAAGGCATTGTAGAGTGGTATTAATACTTTGCGTGATCTTGATTCTATCCCTCTGTTAATGCAGCCTAGCACTGTGTTGGCTTTTTTGGCAGCTGCAGCACACTGCTAGCTCATATTTAAGTGATTGTCCACTAGGACTCCGAGATCCCTCTCACAGTTACTACTATTGAGCAAGGTACCCCCTATACTATACCTGTGCATTTGGTTTTTCTTGCCTAAATGTAGAACCTTACTTTTTTCACCATTGAATTTCATTTTGTTAGATAGCGCCCAGTGTTCAAGTCTGTCCAGATCCTCCTGTATCTTAAGCCTGTCTTCTGGAGTGTTGGCTATTCCTGCCAGCTTGGTGTCATTTGCAAATTTGATGAGTTCCCCATCTATCCCCTCGTCCAAATCATTGATGAAGATGTTGATGAGCACTGGGCCCAGAACAGAGCCCTGGGACACCCCACTACACACTTCCCTCCATGTAGATGCGGTTCCATTGAGGACCACACGCTGAGTACGGCCGGTCATCCAAAGTGGCTTTTATTCAACTTTCATTCAAATCTATTCTAAAATTAGAGGATCTTAAGTAGAATTAGACAAATCGCTGGGTAATTGTTTCAGAGATGTTTCTTATCTAAATAAAGAAACAGAATGACCAAGGGCAAAAACAAAACAAAACAGTGGGATGGAAGCAACTTCCAACTTTCTGCCCCCTGACTGTAGCTGATTGCCCACCAGCCGCCAACAGTAGGACCAGTCCAGCTAGCCTCTGGAGGGATAGGGCAGGACTGGTCTACCTAGTCTCCAGCATCTGAAGGGCATGCCAGTCAACCCACCCTTTGGAGGGTTAGGGCAGGACCACTCTACCAAACATCTGGGGGTGGCATGGCAGCACTGGAGCAACCCCAAACTTGCCAAACTTCAATCCCATGGGAGTCATGGGTCCCAGATTTGGAGTGCAGGCTGTACATTAGCCCTTTTGAGGTATCAGTACAAAAACTGTTGTCCTATGATGTGCTGTTTCTTAACACTTAACACTTAAATGTTACCCACACAAGAGTTTTATTAGTATGTACTGTGGATGTTCCAGCACATTATACTGACAATACTTCAATGATTTATTTATTTATTTAACAAATTAAACCCCAGTTCAAGAAAGACAAAGCTGTTCTACATTCTCATTATTGTGTCCTAAACTTTTACTTACGCCCAGTGATTGGAGCTAATTCTTACAAAGTCATTAAAACTGTGTTTGTTACTGATGCTTCAAATACAAAGTCACTACTTCAAATAGCTGAGTCGCTACCATTATGCAACAGAATTTCCAAAATAACAGCATTGTATTTTTCTCTCTTTCACATTATGTAATGGTACATGGGAATGACCTTAAGAGACAGTAGGAAGGTCCACAGGCTAGCCAATCATCATGCAAAAGGCATCTCAATCTACAGAAGCAGAGGGGGTGTGGGATATGTTTCAGAAGGGATCTTCTCAGTTTTCCAGAGAGTAAAAGGAAAGGAGAAGAGGAGTACTCTGAATACTTGCAAGCTTCTTTAATTTAACCTTATAATAAAAATAAAGCTAGTATTCATTTATCTGCTTTTTGTCTGGAGTACTTTGATAGGTTAACATATTCCCTGATCACGGATACAATATCATCAAAATGTTCTGATTAAATGAGGAATCAACAGTAATTTCCTATTTTTTACATCATTTAGAATCTGATCCTCACAGTTTTGTTTCAAAATAGGATACGAGGATCATTCAGAGGACATCAAACATTAATTATGAAGTAGACAACTTGTTTACCTCAAAATTATTAATGGAGTCACATAGATTTGATTTCAGTAAATCATTCCTCTTTCTCCCTCAACTGCATTAAGTATTTCAACCAACTGCTATCTAAGAGAAAATTATCTCAGGAAACCTAGTTAAAATTAAACAAGATTCTGCCTAATTGTGTTTGAATGGAGATTGAATGAGTACTTCATCAAAGAAGGATGGATTCTCCAGAGAGAAAATAGGGAAATAATAAATTTACTTAGCTAAATAATTTTTAAAGAAATTTTTAAAATAATCTAGAATAGCCCTTGTTTTTACCACAATTGTCCCAACTATAGCAAATAAACACATTTGTAGAGACACCTACAATATTACAGGCAATACCCAGCTAATAAAAATTCCTCAAAACCCAATGGGTATTTCTTTTTCATTGCAACCTTAGTGGTATTTAATCTCAGGTCATTTTTTAAATTCTGGCTTGGGCAAGTAAACATAGCTGGATTTCCCTTCCATCCTTTTTTTCTGTGCTATCTGCTCTGCCTACCTTTGCAGTGCTTCCCATCCCCGGTGTAACCAGATTTGCAGATGCATTTGTATGATTTGGGAGTGTTCTGGCAGATGGCATCAATATGGCAGTTGTCAGTCCCATCAACACATTCATCCATATCTGCAAAGGAAAGGGGAAAATGTGACACAATCAAAGCCTGAACTAATCACAGTGTTTTGGGGAAAGATTATTAAAGTATCAGAAAATCATACTTATTTTCAGAGCCCTTTGCCATTTCTCTCAAGAGTAGGAATCTTAAATGAGTCTAGTGGAGGCCATGGAGGTTCTTTACAGCAGGGGTCCCCAACCCCCGGTCCGTGGACCAGTACAAGGCTGCGGCATGCCAGCAACCAGGCCACACAAACAAGCAAAGCCCCATCCGCAAGATGCAGGCAGCACACAAAACCAGGCACCCTCTGGTCCACACAACAACCTCTCTCCATGGAATTGGTCCCTGGTGCCCCAAAGGTTGGGGACCTCTACTTTACAGTGTATGATTGCTAAAGTTTTCATTCACTATAAACCTGCCATGTAATGTTTCCTCAATCTTTCCCAGTCAAGGGTTTCCCTATAATTCTTATTGTTTGTTTTTTAATCTTTATGGTCTTAGTATCAAGTGAGAGGTTACAAGTTAGAAGAATGACCACTCCTTTTATATATACTCTGCATGATCCTGACAGTTTTGTCCTAATTGAATAGATTTATTTTTAAGTTCAATGTTTATGAATTAATATGTGTTGTTAAACATTAGACTCCAAAATTATTCTGCATCTGTCAAATATCTGCATCTACCATATCCACACCCCCAAAACTGTCCAATTCACTGTGGGGAAAAAACTTAGGGATATGCGCGTGATGTGCTTGGCTTGATTTGTCACAAATCAGGATACATCATTACCTGATCATTTAGCATCAGACAGCTGAAGTATCCAAGAGCTACCATTGTTATATTTATTTATGCAATACTTTCTATAATGTCCTCTTGAAAGATTCTAGACAATTTACAATTATCATATTATATCAAGATATACCAAACAAACAAATCATACATCATCTAATCCTATGAATTACAATAAAATCTTACTGTAAACTTTCAAGATAGGTCAGAAAAGGGACCCCACACATACAATGGACCCCAGGAATGTAACTTTATTATTATTGTACCATATAATCATACAAGCCTGTCTAATTTTCTGTTTGTCCCCTTTTATACTAACACAATCAAGACAGTGCTTTTCTAAGTTGCTTTCTCATGCTTGCTTCTAGAATTATGAAATTCTTTCTCCAAATCCCTCCTTAGTGGTATTTCATTCCAAGGCCATCTCTAAATTTATTTATATCTACAAAAATAGATTGTATTAAAATATCGAGCTTGTCTGCCATAAATCACCAAATATTCACTGTTGGACAACACAGATTTTGCTTCCTGGACACTTTTGATGTATCTTATAGATTTTTGCTTGCTAATCATGAAAATAACTTGTAATTTAATCTATCACATACCTTTTAATAGAAACCTTCTGTTTTTACACAATGGCAATGTACACCCTTCAATACCTGTTGGCTATGCTGCACACATGAAAGAAACATGGAAAACATAGAATTGTTGTTGAAGCACATCCAGTACTCCAAATACAACTGGAACATCTGTAGAGAGTAGTGGCTCTACTGCTTGGAATGCAGCTCAGATATACCAAGTACTGTTGCTACATATGCAAATGAGACAGTCATGCAGGAGAATCACAATACATTAGAAAGAAATGGCCACTCTGCCCTTGGTTCCAGGGCAGAAAAATGTGGCACATGAACTACTTGTTGACTCGACAAAGATATTTTTGCCTCCACTTCGTATAAAATTTGGACTAATGAAACATTTTGTGAAAGAAATGAACAAGGAAGATGAAGGTTTTCATTATTTGAGTTGTTTCCAAGAATAACTGATGCCAAGATTACGGAAAGCATTCTTGTTGATCAACAGATCAGATACATCATCAATGATAAGAGGTTTGAAGATGTTAGTGGGAAAGTCACCTGAAAAGCATTCAAGGATGTTGCTGAGAATTTTCTTGGCAACTACAGGGCACCAAGCTACATTAGCTGGTTGACAAACTTCTTAGAGCACACAAGGCCATGAAGTGTAAGATGTTAATGAAAATTCATTTTCTGCACTTACACTTGGACTTTATTCCTGAAAATCTAGGTGCAGTCAATGATGAACATGGTGAAAGGTTTCATTAGGACTTTGCCACAATAAAAAAACGTATCAGGGCAACTGGAATCCATCATTGCTGGCTGACTATTCTTGGACATCGCAGCAAGATCCATTGGACACTGAGTACAAACAAAAATCAGCAGCAAAATACTTTTAGCCCTGTTAAACTCATGCCACATGTTGGAAACATTATGCAATTGAATATATTATAGTCATTAAAAGTTAATTTCATATTTCTCAAGATTCTTCCATGATACAGTCATTCTGAAATTGTATTTTGCTTGTCAGGAGACAAAACTTTGGAAAAAAAATTGTGATCCAGTTAATGCAGCTACAGAAACATTGGTCTAATGCTGCTAAGCCTACTTGTACTGGTTAGCAGAATTTTGTATTCACTGGAGTTTCCAATTCATCTTAAAAGCAATCCCATATAGATTACATTACAGTAATAATATCTCTAGTTGCATAGTAATTATGACATGAGTCACTGTTTCTTGGTCTAGGAAGGCCAGCAATTAGTTGTGCAAAGGCTGCCATGGTCTCCACTTGTTACTCTAATAATAGAAGACATGAATTCAGAAGAATCACCAAGGTTTAAAACTGCCCTATTTTCTGTGGGCTGCTCTAACTTCTTGTCCAATAATTCCATGATTCAAAATTGCTCCTTCCAAATCCAGGTAGAAATTAAATGAACCCACTTTTGAAAACATCCTGTAAAGCTATGGCCCCCAAGCTTTCTGGTACCAGGGATGGTTTTGGAAGAAAAATTGTCTTTCACGGACTGGGGGGGGAGGGATAGTTTTGCGCACAACCTGTGCACATACACAGATGAAGCTTTGCTCACTCATCTGCTGCTTGCAAGCCCAGTTCCTAACAGGCCACGGACCGGGATCAGTCCGTGAACCAGGAATTGGATACCCTTGCTGTAAAGTACATGCAGGCAAACTATAGGCCACATGAGTTACTTGGTCTCTCTGTGTTACCTTACATTTGTGCTCATATGAATAGCTATATGTGTGTATGAGAGAGAAAGTAGGAAAAGGACATGAATAAAAGAGAAATGAATGAAAAAACAATGAAAGAATGAAAAAGGGACAGGGAATAGTCTATTTGCTTTTGATTCTCCCCATTTTCAATTTTGGCCCAATCACTACTGGCAATGTGGAAACTGAGCCCTCAAATTAAATAAGTTTTCCCAACTCGACTGAAAAGACTCTTCCTGCTTTAAAATTTTCAATTACTCTTCACGCATGTTTCTTCAAATTATTTAACAGAAAAGATCCAGCTGTACCCACATATTATTCAAATCATATAAGTAAAAATAATAGTGGCAAAGTTTTTTTTTTAAAGGCATCCAAAATGTTTCACCTATTTCTCAGGAATTTAGCAGTCTTCATTCCCTCAGAAAGACTGTTTATGCCTAAAAACTTTGTCCAGTTCTGTTGAGATTTTAAATTATGGTTGATGACAGGTTCAAAGATTGAATTTTAGACTGAGTCAAATCAAATGTCCTCCAAATCAGTCCAAACTGAACTGAGCAGTTGTTCAAATTGTTGGTCAAAATCATATTGTTATAGACAGAAACCTTTGCAAGTAAATATTTATATAAAGCCTAAGCAATTCTAAATGATCTCTTGCTTAGTAACTGTAATGCATTAATAATAATGATCATGTCCCTGGTCCACATGTATGATCAAATGGAATATTTCTGGCAACTATAACTTTGAAATAAAGGCAAGGTAGTGTTTATTTCAAGGCCTATTCTATTCTCACGCAGCATAAAACATTTTAACAGAGACTGGCAAACCTAAATCGCTCAGTGCCAACTGTAAATAAATTCAGAAATAAGATCCCAGAAATGAAATAACTGTTAAGAGAAAAACAAAATAAGCATCTCCTAGCCAAAACACACTAAATATTCTTCTCTGCTTGCCAAAGGTTGCTAGCAGCTTTGAAATTCATAGTGAATCTTGCTAGACATTAATCTTACATAGTTTTTAACAAACAATCATGCAATACTGCTTGCCTTCCTTATGGCATACTTAAAAAGGAATAGAAAAAACATACATGAATTACAAAATAATATTCACCAACTGCCGAAATAGCCTATAATACCTCAATTTCTTGACATGGAAACAATATCTATTTCAGGACTTTCTTTACAATAAGGTTGTAAGGTTTACAATAAGCTCTGCTGGAGCAGAGCTTCCACACAGATGGTGGTGGCAGTCAAACAGTGGATAGTAGTGTGCCATACTATTGGAATAATTCAATGGTTGGTGAGCAGAATTATCAATATATTTTATTATAAGCCACGGAAAGTCTATAGTAGTTTCTGGTACACCATGTATAATGAAAAAAAAATGCTCAGATTGGTGTACAATACATAGGAGGACTCATTTAACTATGGTAAATGGGGCTGGAATTTCCATCATTAAGCAATATGGTCATGTTGTGTGACCATGTCCCTTAGTGATGGCAATTCCAGCCCTTCAGTTTTTCTTAAGCAAATCCTGCAATGTTATTATAATCTCCCGCTGTCTCCCCCAGAAGCCAACAAAAAATGTCACAAATTGTGATTACATGACTGTGGGGCGCTGCAACATCATAATTGCAAGGACCAGTCATTAAGAACCACTCGTTCAATGCTTTTGTAAGCTCGAACAGTCACTGAACAAGTTATTATTAAGCGAGGACCATTGTACTGAGCTTGCAATCTCAAATTCAACACAGAACCTGCGTACACGTCCAGACCAATGTCTTGTCACACAAGCATCCAGCACAAAAGAGCCACCATCTGGGGATGTTAAGGTTATTCCAGACAGGTTAACAAAAGAAAAATATATATCTGCACTTTTATTTTCTCCCTTGCCCATACCTCCTATGTTAGATTGTTTCATGTATCA